TAGAATTAATTTTTTTTACACAGAGACTCGGATCAATCGATTATAAGTGAATTCAGCAAGCTGTCGTGACTCGCTTTTCCATCGATAGACGTGCAAAGATTAATCGCTTCTAATCCCTGGGTGCCGATCATAGTTGCTCTCGGCTTTATTTCTCCAGTCACTGAATATATATATATATATATATATATATATATATATATATATATATATATATATATATATGACAAGCCCGCGCGATATCCATTGAACATGATTGATTTATGAAATGTCTCTCAAGAGTCGTCGCAGTTTCTCTTCGCATTATATATATATATATGCAGTTTCAATATGACATTCTTGAAAAACAATTCGTTATATTCGCCACGCCGGGACGCTTATAATATATAGCAAAGTAAAATGCCAATTTTTCTAATTTTCATTTTGATTTTCACTTTTATGGAAATGGATTTTCAATTGAATTTCGGTAAAAGTGAAAATAAAAGTCAAAATGAAAGTCAAGGTGAAAGTGAAAGTCAATGTCGATGTGGAAGTCAAAATGAAATTACATAATTGCAATCCAGGTCAAAAATTCAAAGTTATATTAAACTGGTTTGTAATTTTTGTAAATTGATACCCTGTATAAGAGTATATAACAAATCCCTAAAATATTATCTCATTTAAGGGTACTTAACCAATTAACATAACCTCAAAACTGAAAATAAGTTTTTTTTCACAATAAATAAAAATATAAATAAAATTAATTTTATCAAATTTTGAAAGATTCAATTGTATAATTTTTTCTAAGTTTAAAGAAAGTGTAAATAAATTATACTTTTTAAAAAATTTTCCTCAGTTAAAATATGGCTTTGGTTAGGACCACGCCAGTTTTTCTAATTTGAAAGTAATGTAAATGAAATAACATTTTAAAATTATTTTTTTTGGTGAAAAAAAGTTACCACTGGTTTTAAAAATAGGACTCTGGTCAGGGCTTGACCAGTTTTCCTTTTTTTTGGAAATAAATATAAATAAAATAAGTTTTTCACATTACTTTTTGTAAAAAAAATCCTAACAATTAAGGGGAAAGTTTATATGGTTTTGTATATATGGAAATAGCGTAACAATCATTTTAAGGAAATAGTCAGTTTCTTTAGGAAGGGTGACATTGGATATAGGGAAATATGGTCAATACCTCATCAGGCCCACATTTCAATTTCTACTCGAGATATATATTTTGGCTAATCCCCAAATAGAGTAGTAACTAGTTTTAAAATAGAGTTCCTCGTCAGGGCCTCGGTAATTTTCCTTGTTTGAAAAAAATGTAAGTTTGAAATAAATTAAATTTGAAATAAAGTAAGTTTGTCACATTACTTTTTGTAAAAAAAATCCTAAAAAAATTATAATAATAGAGTTGAATATTTATACAATAGTGATATAATAATTTTTTAAATACAGGTGTTTTCCACCTGTTCAACTATTTTTTTTTTTTTTTTTTCTTTTGACCGAAATTCACTTGTTTCTATATATGTAGCTTAAATTTAAGTAATTCGTTAAAGAAATTGATACCGACGACATTTTAGATTTACAAATTTCAACACATATATATGTATATATAATGCATTATTTCAATTCAGTGCGTGCAAACATGACCTAAAATTTTATCAGTTTTCTAATCCTAAATTAAGCTTACCATTAGTTTATGAAAAATTTCATCATTTTTTTCTATATAGTTGCATTGTTTAAATAAACTGTGTGTGGTAAAAAAAAATTCGTATTTATAATTTAATTAAATATTTTATATATATATATTAAATGTAGAAATTATTTCGAAAATTGGAATTTTTTTTATTTTTGAAATAATATTTACTTTATATATATAGCAATACATTGTTATTCATAGTACATACATTATTAATATTTATACATATATATATTATTAAGTAATATATAATTTATGATAACAAGCACCTGTTGATCTATATTTGTCATAGTAATAATCACGTATCAGTTGATATTATACCTTTGAGAAAATGCATATGTATATATATATATTTATCTGGAAAAATAAAAAAGTGGATAAAAGAAATGACAAATGGAATATTAAAAAAAATTTTTTTTTAATTTTTAGAATTTCTGTTAGTTTTAAAGGCTAATTATAAGGAAGAAAAATTACAAATAGCTTTTTGAAGGAAAAGGTCATCACTCGTGATGGTTTCGCCTATTAATTGTATTTGTCGGTTACGATGTCACGTATCGAGTATATTATTATTATTGAAAGGGATGCACCCATGAATATATATATATATATATATATATATATATATACACTTTGAAAGGTAGACAAGCAGGCAAAAGCGGCGGATGACTATTGATTGTGTAGCCAGCTGACAGAGACAGTGACATATGTCAGCGAGGCTTCTCGTTATCGCTGATTTAAACATGAGGCAGTCAAGACCCTTTGCTGCACCAGCAACTTCGCATTTCTGCTTACCAACCCATTTTATACCAACTCCATCGTTATTGTTATTACACTTATTTCAGTCTTTCAAATATACAACAGAATCTGTCCTGTTTCTGCCACTCACCGCACATTATTTCCTGCGTATTTATATATATGTATATATATTTCGAAAAATTTGCAATTTCTTTTTTTTATTTATATTATTATTATTATTATTATTATTATATATTCAAATAATGTTTTCATGAAAATTGAAATTTATTTTTAATAAACTGGGTAAGTAATATGTGAAACAAATTTAAATTATTATTACTTTTATATTAACCAGATTTCCCTATCTCTACCCGTGCAGAAATTTTGCCAGGGCTCAGATCGGGTCCGGATCAGTCTGCCCTATTAGGGAATGAAACGCCGCGCCTGATTAGGAAATCCAAATTTTCTGGTCGCCCTGATTAGGTGTGGCGTTTCATTCCCTACTAGGGCCCTGGTAGGGCAATTTTTATACGGATAATATGGCTTTTTTCCAGAAAAACTGACTAGTGCCCTTAAAAGCTGTTAATTAATAAACATTCCTCTAAAATTATTAATATACTATTTTTTTACAAAAGCTATTGTGAAAAACTTATTTTATTTATCAACATTTTTTTTCAAACAAGGAAAACTACCGAGGCCCTGACGAGAATCCTATTTTAAAACTAGTTACTATCCTATTTAGAGTGTAGCCAATATATAAACCGAGCAGAAATTGAAATGTGGGCCTACTGGGGTATTGACCAGATTTCCCTATCTCTAATGTTGATTTCCTAGAGAAACTGACTAGTTCCCTAAAAGAATTGTTACACTATTTCTATATATCTTCCTATATTATAATAGATATCTTTTTGTATATACAAAAAGATATCGCCGCCTCCGCCGCCGCTGTTTCAAGAATTCTTGACCTAGGAGGGGGGGGAGTCCCCCCTCCTAAATTTTGAGGTTATGTTCGTTTCAAGGCTCTGAATATAGCTGCAAGAACCCCCTCCTCCTCTCATTTCCCCTCCTCCGCCAAAACGGCCTAAATTTTAAGGTTATGTTCGTTTCAAGACTCTGAATATAGCCGCAAGTCCCCCTCCCTCCTCTCATTTCCCCTCCTCCGCCAAAAATGACCTAAATTTTGAGGATATATGTTTGTTTTAAGACCCTAATAAAGCAGTAAGTCCTTCCACCTTCCCTCATATCTCTCTCTTTGTATTTCCCGCCAAAAATGACATAAATTTTAAGGTTATGTAAATTTCAAGACTTTCCAATATAGCCGCAAGTGGAGGTGGAGTTCCCGCCAAAAATGACTTGAATTTAAAGGTTATGTTCGTTTCAAGACTTTTTAATAATTTATTGGTTTTTAGACAATTTCATTGAAATTATTTTTAAAAATAATTTCTTAATGTCAATTTTAATTTATTTAAACAGACGGACAGATTTGGCTATTGTAAGAATAGTAAAAAATCAATTTCAAATAAAGTGATATATTTTATATATACTTTTTTAGAAAATGGTATAAAAATGTAAAAAAAAAATGATCATTATTTATCCTCTTCAAGTTTTGGCATTTGAATTATATATTTCCGTATAAATATAAATTACTTTGGAAATTTTTTTTTCACCCTCCTAATAATTTTTAATGAATCACTATATATATAAGTTGAACGCATAACAAACTTTATTAATACAACGCATACAATCGTACACGTATAACGTTGCGAGAATAAAATATAAAAAGTTTCTTATTTCTCGCATCTCCCCTCTTGTTAAACATGAAGAAGATATATATATATATATGTTTCCCATTTTCGTCGCTTCATTTTGTGCCTTTCGATTTGTGGCATTCAATTTGTACGTGTGCGGCCTGGCCAATGACAAAGCCAATGAAGGGCAACATTTATCGGATGCATATATATATATATATATATCATCACGATACATCTAAGCAGAAAAGTTCCTAGCTCTGACAATAGATGCTAGTATACCCTGGATGAAAGTGTAAAAATGCTGACAAGCGGATAATAGAGGAGGCAGTCAGTCATTTTGAGAGATGGCGTGGAACAAGAGAGAGGGGGGAGGAAAGTGTTCACTGAGTCGTGAAAAGGAAAAAGATGGATGAACGCAAACGCGGTTAGTCTGAAGAGAGAGAAACAAAATTTGCGGCGGGTAATAAATCATTTTCCACTACTTGCATATGTGTATTATATATACAGGGAGTTTTGGGCGCTCTCTGACGAAGGGGAACGAAAGTAATGCGAATATACATATATATATAAAATATGTACACATATACTTCTTTAACGTCTTATATTACTTTTTTTCTTTGTCCAAATTATTTTTATTGTTCCCTTGTAAAAATTGTTTTTTATAACTGCTTTTTTTGGAAATAAAATTTTAAAAATATATGTATTTATAATATTTTAAATAGCAATTTTGTTTGCAATTTAAAAATATTTATTTTTTGTCTGTTAAATGTAAAACGTAAAAGCGATAAGTTCTACCTTCTTAGAATTAACGGCGCCATTTGTAAAAAGTCATTACTCACCTGAGTTGCAACACTTTTCCCGCCAGGAGCGCTGGAATCGCTCACACTAGACAGCCGCGGTTTCTGTAACAGAAAAGAAATATAGATTATAAAATTGTTAGGAATTTATCCATTTTATTTTTATATAATTTATAATAATTATAATTTTTTAAAAAATATTATTATTATTATTATTATTATTGTTTCTAGAAAGAGATATAAAATAAAGTATTTGTTTTTATTTTTTTTAAATTTTAGCCTATACATATATAATAACAAACTTGAATTGAAACACATGAGAATTATTTCGAAATACATATTGTGAAGTTTGCCATATATATTAAACACAATTTGATACAAAAACTTATAATTAAATGCAATAAAAATTCAGTTTTGGTTTTCATATTCTGTGAGCGCAGGAAATGTAAGGAAGTAGATTTTTATCAATATCGGAAACAGGAAAAAATAAAAGTCAACAATTCTAGATATGATAGATATATATATATATATATATATATACATTAATGCATATATATACAATTGCGTGAGCAAAAGTAATTAAATATTCGCAGTCATAAAAAGTCACTTCTCCAATTATTCTGTCAAGATATTTCTGATTAATAACAAAATATAAATGTTACAATTATTATTCACTGCACCAAGATATTATAAACTATATAAGATGTTATAAAATTAACAATATAATTATAACCAATAAATCACATACGAAAAATTTATCGAATAAAAAGTACTTTGAAAAAAAATTTATTTAATTCAAATAATTACGCGGTTACTTGCTTTATTATCACATAATATAATATTTATACTTGAACCAAATAATTTTTTATTTCAATTATTAATATAATATCGCCGTCGCTGTTTCAAGACTCTGAATATAGCCGCAAGTACCCCTCTCTCCTTTCCCTCCACCCCCATTGAGAGGGTGGATTTCCCGCCAAAAATGACCTAAATTTTGAGGTTATGTTATTTTAGCGGGAAACGACCATAAAACAAACATAAACTCAGAATTTAGGCCGAAATTTGAAGGAAAACAACCAAGAAATAAACATAACCTCAAAATTTAGGTAAAAATTTGGAGGAAAATGACCAAAAAAAAACGAACATAACCTCAAATGTAGGTCAAAGTTTGTCCTCAAAATTTAGGTCAAACTTTGGAGGAAAATGACCAAAAAAAAAAACGAACATAACCTCAAATGTAGGTCAATGTTTGTTAAAATAATTTAAAAAAATAGATAAATTTTGTTTTAAAATTGAAAATTAATAAAAATTATTATTAATCAAAATTATAAATAACATTTTAAAAAGTAAATAATAAAATATTAATTATACACTAAAAAAAGTGTTTGGTATATTGACAACCAAACGTTTGGTTGGTATTTAAGCAACCAAATTTTTTTTTGTTGAATCAACAAATTTTTGGTTGTCCCAATCAAACTTTAGTTAGAACAACAAATTTTGGTTCCTTAAATACCAACCAAACGTTTTGTTGTCAATACCAAACCCCTTTTTTCAGTGTAGTTTTAAATTCTACAAATTGGCCAAACATAAACTCAAAATAGATCATAAGGCCATATCTAAAAAAATAATAAAAAACGGGGGGTTGACCCGCGAAGCGCGCAGGAGGGGCGAGGCCCCCCTAGTAATATAATATAATATAATATAATATAATATAATATAATATAATATAATATAATATAATATAATATAATATAATATAATATAATATAATATAATATAATTATATATTTTTATAATTTTTATTATTATTATTATTATTATTATTATTATTATTAGTATAGTAGTGAACCAAATGTAAATGAAGAAAATTCCTGCTTTCTTCTCATGTCTTGTTGGAATTTCTGATTAAATCCCAATGTATTTAAACATATCGCTCTCTGTGCACTTTCCATACAGCCCTCAAGAAATTCTACTAAATCACTAAAGTATAAAATGTTACTTTATCAGAAACTCAAAGTTTCAATTAATGTTAAATTGTTTATAAAGTTTTCAAATTCCTTAATGTCATTATTATAATATAACGCGATATATTCTTCTTTTATCTTTTGATGACTTTACGTAATTTATCAACAAAAAATATATATATATATATATATATAAATGAGATAATAATAAATGTTTATATGGAATGTTATCGTTATTTTTCACATATCTTGACAAGTTGACAAAAAAAAGTATATATATATAATCATTTCTTATTTTGATTGATTGAAAAATTAAAATTTCATATAATATAAAAATTTTTTTTGATAATTACTTTTAATCATCATTCATAAAATTGATATTAAAAACCGGAAGTACGGTGAAATTTTTTTTTTAAATATATGTATATAGATTCTCTGATAATAGTATTTTGTCGTCAAAATAAACCGGAATTCCGGTTAAAATTTTTTTTCCCATGCTTTTATTTCATTAAATTATACAGCACGAATATAATAATAATAATAATAATCGATGTGTGAAAGACTGTCATGTAAACTGTAATATCTAGATTGTAAATAATCACTAAAGGAACAAATTTTGAGTTTTGAACTATACCGCTCAGATCGTCTGATAACTATATATATATATGTATATACATATATGATTCTGGAAAATGCTGTCATCACTAAAAGCAATTAATTTTAGCACATATTTATACATATATTTACGTCTGTTTGACACTTTGTTTACAATTTCGTGTTTCTATGTCAATGGCCAAGGTTTTTTTTTTTTTTTTTTGATTCTTTGTCGGTTTCTATCTACTGACAAGTCTTTAAAGATGCGCGAGATCTTCTTGAAATCGGTCGGCATAACATCAAAGCACAACACTATATTAGCTGTAAACTCATCCACGTCGAGACGTCAGAAATTTTGACGTTATGTTGTTAGCGCGCGGCCTCATGTCTATACGCTTCAGGCTAAACGGTAGAGAAAAGTTTTTGGTTTCAGAAGATGCGATAGAAGAAGAGAGAGAAAAAAAAACGGATGTAGGTTTAAGGTAATACGATCCTTATGGATATTATTTTCAAAGTTATTAAAAAGAATTGCTCACTATCTTTATATATATATATATAGTATGGGCGCCATAAGAAAAGATAACGAGTTGCAGTTTAAATTACAGTTGCATACACCGCGCGCACTTGGTTCCTTTAGATATGACCTCCTGTATATATATATATATATATATATATATATATATTTATTTATTTCATTGCATTCCCCAAGGAAACGTTCCCTTTGCTAATTATTGTTCACTCCAAATCGTCGTTTGCTTATATATTTACTTCGTGTAACACTTTCCATGCAATTGCTTCAATTTTTTCGCAAATTATTTACCTCTCTGAAAGTAATCTTCAGGAAATTTATAGTAGAAGTTTACAAATCTAATGTTCTACTCCCTTATTTATATAGTTTTTTTTTTATTTTGCTTTTTAATACTATTTCCAGGAGTTGTTAAAGGGCGGGAATAGTAGAGAACAATAAATTTTTTTTGTTGTTTTATGGTTGCGTTCACGTAACTCTAATTCACTTTCACTTTTTAAAAATTATTTTAACATTCTCACTATTATTCTACATTTTCACTATCGGAAATTTTTTTTTCTTATTCTCACTTTCACATTTGAAATTTTTTTTCAACTTATTCTGAATTTCATTTTCATTCTAATTTTCTCTTTCAAAAAGAAATTTTCCTTACTTCACAGATAGGACGTAAGCTTGCAGCAACCTTGCGGCAAGGTTGCCGCGCAAATATTGCCAACCTTGTACGGCAAACTTGACGCAAGCTTCAAATGTTCTACCTGACCCAAGCTTGCATGGTATAAGCCTTAACGAAAGATTGCTCAGTAAGCCTACGGAAAGATTGCAGTGTAAGGTTACTGCAAGATTGCACAATAAGATAATCGCAACATTGCTCAGTAAACTTGCACGTTAAGCTTGTATTAAGGTTGGTGCAAAGTTGCCTAAATAACCTTAATTTTAAAAAAATATTTTTAATATTTAGTCTAATTTATACAATTTTATTATATAAATTAGAGGAAACATTAAAAAAAAATTTTTTTGGGAGTTTAAAGCAATGTTATTAAGCAACCTTGCACCAACCTTGCTACAAGCTTACCGTGCAAGCTTACTGAGCAATCTTGTGATAATGCAATCTTTCCGTAGAATTACTGAGCAATCTTTCGATAAAGCTTTATCACGCAAGCTTGGGTTAAGTAGAACATATTTGAAGCTTGCAGTAAGCTTGCGGCAAGTTTGCCGTTCAAGATTTGCAATATTACGCGGCAACCTTGCCGCAAGGTTGCTGCAAGCTTACGTCCTATCTGGGATTATTATATAGTTATTTTAAATAAAAAGAAGTTGAATGCTTACTCACAATTTACTTAGATTAGTTAGTTAATTTTATAAAATTCAAAATGGCGGATCCAATATGGCGTCTATTTTTAAAAATCGTTCGAAATCCTTTGAAATTTGTTAATCTGAGGTTTTTGGGGATAACTGATAACGAATTTGATGTCTATTTTTCAAAATTAAAAATGGCGACGCCAATATAAGGGATATTTTATTTTTAAATCGATCCAGTTTTTTTTTTAAACTTATTACTTAGGGGTTTCTGGGTTACCGATTACGAATTCGATGTTAGTTTTTCAAAATTCAAAATTGTGGATTCAATATAGACAAAAAACTTCTTTTTTTGTAAATTTATCCGATTATCTTGAAACTCGTTACGCGGTGGTTTTTGGGATCCATGCAATTACAAATTTAAAATCAGATTTGTAATCAGTAACACTGAGAATCCTTGACTAATGAGTTTCAAGTAAATTCAGTGAATTTCAAAAAAAAAAAAAAAATCCGCCATATTGGATCCGCCATTTTGAATTTAAAAAAACTGACACCTACACGGAAGTAACTTTTACTATACTTCTTGTAGTAAATCCTAAGGTGACCGGAATTTCTGCGCGTGTTTCTGGCTATTTCTGCTACGTAAATAAAGTTAAAACTATAATTTCCGAAGTAAAATTTACAATTTACTGCAATTTAAAATTGCAGTAGTAATTTTTCAAATTTTCATAGGCGGATTTTCCTGCGGAATACAATTCTATATGGAATTTCCATAAAGCGATTTCGTTTAGAATTCTTCCACGTGGAAGAGAAAGAGAGTGAGAGAAACGCTTTGGCGCCGCTTCTTTGTTCCCATTCTGTTAGCTTAAACTCCGCCTCTTTCTAGTTACGTACACATTGAGCTAGAGTTAAGCCACTGGTGTAAACAGGATCATTAAACTAACATTGGCAAAAGACGTTCCGCTCTTCTCAAAAATGATTTATTAACAATATTCTCATTTTCCTCGAAATCTTTTCTTCTCTGATCTTTTTCTAATGTATATATATATATATATATATATATATAAATGAAGAGAAGCCTCTATAGCGATGTTCTTGATAATAAGCCAATAACTCTCCATTAATCATTTCATTTATTATTATTAGCGAGAAAACACTAAGTCATCCTAAAATTGTTACTAGTTTAATGTAATAAGACATTTTCACTGAAATAAATAAATTATCATTTCTCAACTACTATATATATATAAGAAAATAATTTCACAATGAATTAATGTATAACATGCTTATATAGTTCTCATTTCCATTTGGCACGATTTCAATAATAACTAATTCTCATTTATACTAATTTACCGCAGCAAAAGAATGTAATAAATCTTTGTATTTACAATAAAAGACACTGATTAGTTGTAGCTATATATGTAAATTTTTTTTTTCATAAGATGATGTTTAAAGCAATAAATTTTAGTTATAAAATTAACAAAACCAAAATATGACTTTTCCTATATGATTTACTGTCGATTAAGTATATTGTTCAAGTAATCAGAGAAACTTATATATATATATATATATATATCTTTTATAAATGTCGAGGGTCCAAAAACCTACACAACAGTACAATATTTACGTCACTTTTACACGCAACGGACCAATTATTAACTTTTTTATATAATATATTAAAATTAAATTTGATTGAATTGCGTCAATCTAGAAAACTGGTAATTCTATTAATAAAAAGTTGGAATTAAATTAACTTACAAGGATCATTAACTTTTATGATTAAATTACAAATGAAGATTTATTGTAAAATATAATAATTTCTATGGCAATATATTTTTCTTATTTTAAAAGACGTTCTTTTTTATTGTTTGCAGTTGACATTTGTAAATTGTAACCTCAAACTAAAAAGTAGTTTTTAACATAACTAAAAATATATTTAAAATTGATTTCACCCAAATTCGAAAAATTCAGTTGTACAATTTTTGAAAAAATTAAATTTTGAGTTAATATTTGTTGTTAAATAATAATTAATAAATATTTTGTATTTTTTCTTAAAATTAAAATTAATTAATTAAATTTCTTAAAATAGTTAATTCTAACTTCTATACATTTTTATAAACAATTGTTCACCAAAATTAAACAAATAATATAGAAAGTAAAATAATTATTATTTAACAACCAATTTTTGGGCAAAATAATTTATATTTTGAAAATCGTACTTTCAAAATTTGATAAAATTAATTTTATTTATATAGTTTTATTTGTTGTTAAAAACAACTTTTGTAGTTTTTCAGGTTATGTTAATGGGCTAAGTACCCTTAAGGTGCAAAAAAAAGTCGTTTTAGTCGATTTACATTCTAAAAAAAGTCAATTTTAAAAAAATTTAATTTAATTAGTTAATAAGTATTTTACATTAAATAACTATATATATTTCGAATGTTTCAGACTCAAACTAAGACGTAAATTTTAAAAATTTTATTAACTATAGGACAAATTTCTAAAAAAAAAATTCTGAAAACAATTCAATTTTAAATTTTTTATTTGAAAGTTTTTTAAATAATTGAATTTCTAAAGAAATATTAAAATTATTAGAAGTAATTGAACTTTGGAAGAATGACAGTTGAAATTTTTAGAAATAATTATAAATTTCAAAAGATTTTGTTAAATTTCAAACAATATAATTAAATTTCACAGAATTTAAAATAATTTATCAAATAATCGTTGATAAACTTTTTTTTTAAATATTTGAATTTTCAATGATTTACATTTCAGATTTTTGAAAATAATTGAACTTCAAATGATTTTCAATTAAAATTTTTTTGTGATTTCTGTTGATTGAAGAATTTATTAAAAATTATACAGGCAAAAATTGAATTTCAAAAGTTTTTAATTGAAAAATGCTTTCTAATAATTGAATTTTTGGAGAATATTATAAAAATCATTAAAAATAATTCAATTTCGGAAGAGTTATAATTTATTAGAATATAATTTATTATTAAATTTCAAAAAATTTTGAGATTTAAAACTTTTAAAATATATTTAAATTTTAAAAGGTTTTATTATAAATATTTTGCTAATTTTTTTTTTTTGCTGTTTTTTTAATTGTAAACAATTGTGTTTAAGGGAAGGCACCATTCCCCATTTTTACCCACTTAAATTTAAATTATCAAAAAAAATAAAAATTTCAATTTTTGACCAATTTTAGAAATTAGTCTTAAAAAAATTAATATTTTAAATATCTATCTTTTTCACAATTGACTAATTTTCATGACCAATTTTTTCCACGCTTTTTTTTTAATAATTCTTAAAGAATCTCTCGCATAAATTTTCAAAAATTTTAATTTTTTCGAAAAATAAAAATTCTAAAATGATTAAAAATTAAAATTTTCCTTTCTTTTATATATTTTTAGCATCCAAATATGATGCAAGAAAAATATAACCTCGTTTAATAATTTAAATTTAAGTGAATAAAAATTGGGAAGGGGTGCATTCTTCCTTAAGATAATTGAATTTGTAACGAATTGCATTAAAATTATTAAAAATAATTAATTTAGAGAAAAATTTGTTAAACAATTAAAAGAAAAGTTAAAGTCTAATGAAGACCTGCATTGTATATACTATACTAAAAAAGACGGAATTTTATTAAAAAAATGTTATAAAAAAAAGAATGTAAAAAAAAGTCGAAATAAATCGCATCTTATTAAAATAAGTCGAAATAAAGTCGTATAATCCAAGGCCTGAAATTGTGAAAATAATTTTTAATTTAAAAATAAAGAAAATTTTGAAAAATAGATTATGTTTTCTTGAAAAAATATACTATAGTATTTGCGTCAGTGATGATTAAAACACTTTCATGAAATTGTAGGCAAACAGTGCTTAAGTAGCTGTCATTCGTTACTTGTGGCAGTCAGTAAGTCGCCTCGACGAGCAATCAATCACCAGCCATCCCTCCACAGTCGGCCCATTACATTTCTATTTTGAAAGCTGCTTATTAAGCTGGGCCTGCCCCTGAGAGACAGACAGGTTTCGCGGTATAAAATATCGTGTGTATATAGTTGCCTGTTGGGATTGTTGAGGTGTACGGGAAACTGGACGGCTCTCCAGGGGAGAGAGAGAGAGAGAGAAAAGAGAGAGAGAGTGGGGTGCGCGCCATGCTAGGATGAGGGGTGACGGGAGGACAGGGCTGAAAAGCGGTGAAATATCAAAGCCAGGATGGGAGCTGTCATCGTCGAGCCAACATCATGGGTGGCGTGTTGAATTAGAATGCCTCCCCACACCATAGAACACAGTGTTCTCTCCCTTCTACTTTTCCCTTCTCGTCAAAACCCCACTCTCTCTCCCTCATTTCATGGATAAATGGAGGGGACAGCACAGGCGGACAGGTTATTTCGTAGTTTACTTCTCAAACACTGCGCGGCGCTTTTGTCGACTCACGGAGCTCTGAACAGTGAAGGTCTCGGCGCGGCCGCCACTACTTTCCTGGATATTGCAGAGTACGCGTCGTTCTATTGATTATCTCTCATTCAATCGTAACAGTGAATAGTGTATTTCATCATAATTCCAGTTCTAAGTGATAATTAGTGAAAAAAAAAAATAATTTGTGATCAGCTTAAAAGTGTTTTACCAAATGGTTGTGCTCGAGGAGGGCGGTATGTTGACCACTGGACATAATCAGTATCTCCAGCCGGATTATCTTTCTCCGCTTCCAACAACGGTTGGTATATTTATCTATATTTTTCTCTCCTATTTTTTTTTCTAATTTCTTCTTTTTCCTAACAAAAAATTATTCTTCTCATTACAGTTGGACGCGAAGAAGAGTCCATTGGCACTATTAGCACAGACGTGCAGTCAAATTGGTGCCGATTCACCGTCAAAATCATTGATATCACCATTGGATAAACAATCAAAGTCTGCTGCTTCAAATGCAAGATCACCGCCGGCGGCAAAATTGGAACGTACAAGATGCAGTCCGACGGATACAAAAACCCTTGCATTCAAGCCTTATGAAATAAATGTGATTGCAAAAAAATCTTCCGATGATGGAAGACCAACATCAAAAGCAAGTGTTCACAGTGTTAGTGCACAGGATAGTATCAGTGTGTGTGATATGAGTAATTCGGAGAAAAAATCATCGGGTAGTCGAACCCCAGTGGGTAGGAAATCAACATCCCCTACAAGTCAAACACCAATTTCAAATTCAACAATAAGTGATCGCAAAACACCCGCCGATCGTGAAAAAGTTAGTGAATCGCCAAGAAATAATGGTGCAAGTCCAATAATACGCTCGGGAATGGAAATTCTCTCAGGACATACAAAAGATATTGGTTATAAATCAATTCCCGGTTTTGGTGGTGCAAATCCCCTTTGTTGTCCTCCGGGTATGGCGGAAAATCCTGCATTTAGGCCACCATTTGCTGGTGCATCACCATTTTCTCATCATCATGCGGCAACTGCAGCACTTTTGGGATATCCACCATCGTCATCTGCTGGTAATAATCCATATCTTAGTTACGCGCGTGTTAAAACTCCCGCTGGTGGTGAAGCACTTGTACCAGTTTGCAAGGATCCATATTGTACTGGTTGTCAGTATAGTATGCATAATGCCCAAATGATGATGGGCGCCGGTTCATGTCCCAGTGGTTGTACACAGTGTGATCATCAAAAATATGGTTTGGCTATGGCACTATCATCATTGGGACCAATGCCACCACCATCATTGAGTTATCCATCAACATTAGCCGCTGCCGGTGGACGACCATATGTTTGCAATTGGATTGCCGGCGAATCATATTGTGGAAAACGATTTACAACATCTGAAGAACTTTTACAACATCTTCGTAGTCACACTAGTTTGGCAAGTGGTGAACATGCGGCGGCAAATGCTGCACTATTGGGTTCACCACATACACATCCACTATTATCGCCGTCGGCTGCACTTCATCGTGCCGCTGCTGCTGGTGGTGGTTCTTATCCTGCACCTTCACTAAGTCCATTAAGTGCGCGATATCATCCCTATGGTAAACCATTGACTGGACCACTTCCTGCATCGCTTGCGGCATCACCATACAGTGCATTCAATGCTTTAGGACCATATTATTCACCCTATGCAATTTATGGTCAAAGAATTGGAGCTGCTGTTCATCCGTAATTTATTGGAACTCTTGCCGACGGAACGAAACAGGGACCAAAATGCGTCGTCCCGGTTAAAGAGAAAGAGACTGTCCTTTACGTGAATGTGTATATATAAAAAAAATGCCCAATGGCATAATTGTAAAATAGAAATTTATTTAAAAAGAAAAGATCTATATATGAAAAAAAAATTATTACTGCAAAAAAAATTGATTGGTGTATCGACGTTTAATATCTCGCGTGTTGCAAAGAAAAGCAACTACTGTGGTGTGTTTTTATTTACCATTAATTTTACTGTTAAAAATTTGTGACAATATGAATGTGATTATTAATTTTGTCTTAAATTCTTTGGATTTATATGAAAAATAGTTATTTTCCTCTTCTTTGATATTTTTTTCTTAAATAATTAAATTGCAAAATTTTTTCAACAATCGGATATCCGTAATGAGGAATTTTCAACAAATTGTGTAGCACAAAATTTTTCCTTCTCCCAGTGAATGACAATCGACTCGATAAGTTTCAGAAACTTTTACAGAAGGAAACACACTGTCCATACTGTAACTGTGATATTGTATTATTTTTTCAAAAAAAAAGGATATTAGATGATACCTTCGTTTCGCGATTAATTGAGTCGATTGATAAAAATTGTCAACTAATAAATGTTTTATGAAAAAAAAAAAAAAATTTCTAAATGAAATATCGAATTCGCAATCACACACAGAAATAACAAGATTTATGTGCTAAATGCAACAGTGCACGCATACGATATGTCATTCATCTTGTAAATATGACTTGTAAATAATGTCGTTGAGTTTCCATACTGCTTTAATAAAACATGTTTGTAGAATCATATATATATATATTATATTATAATTTGACGTGAAAATTTTTTTTGCTTAATTTCTTTTATCCCTTTTGACTTTCCAATTTCCATTATTCCTTGTATTTGTGAATTTTACGGTGTATGGGTGATAGGGGAAGATTAACGTTGTCCTACAGAAAGAAGAAGACTATCGCTTCTCAAGTTCCTGAGACTGCATTTGTGGGACCCAATCCCCGGGGCACAAGAGTGAATTTATTTCTTTCATTACCAGCCGAGCGAGTCGTGAGTTCTCAGATATCAGGTAGGGTGAAAAAGAGAGAGAGAAAGAGAGAAAGGGTGGTTATTTTACTTCGCGCGAGGGTTGAAGCTCTTCCATAACCTCTTTTCCTTTAACATACTTCTGCTTTACTTTTTTTTACCGTCTCACTTTTTCCTTCCTCCTTCTCCTCCTTCTTCTTCTTCTCCTTTGCTCTCTTCGTTGCCGTCGTCGCCACGATGGCGGCGGCTCAACAGCATGAAATATTCGGCGATTTTACAGTCAAGATGAATGGCTACCCATATTTCGCTTGGCCATTCTTCAGATTGGAATTCGTGTTATTTCGAACCATTACGCGCGCCGCTGAATCTCAATTAGTAACGTGTCGTGCTTAACGACAAACTCACGTATCTCTTTTCTCTCCCTCTCGTGACTTTCAAAATCAATCCTCTCTCTCTCTCTCTCTCTTCAATTTTTGTCGTATTTTTCTTTCAGTTCACATCCATCACTTGTTTATTTGCATACAATGCCGTTTTCATGCCGTCTATATTCATCAATTTCTTGTTTGTTCCTTGTCGAGATTGTGTCACTCTAATAATAATAAATTTCGTTTAAAATCCCTTAAAAAAAATATTTTATTTCAAAAATCAAGGTCGAATTCTAATCTACAAGAAGGCAACATGCAATTTGCAAAATCAGCCAGATGTTAAATGTCAAAAGAAATTCTCGCGCGGAAGTCTTGGAAAATTAAATGTGTCAGTGCAGTGGCTTGGTTACATGCTGGGTGTAAATGCGAATAACAAGGACGCGATGTAATATATCAACATCGCGTTGGCGGTCTTTGGAAGTCTCTGCAGGAGACCACAGCTTCTAAAGACAGAATCGGTTGTATGGCTTGTCATGCCTATATAACCCCTGCCTGGCAACGTAGAAGGAACAATCGCTCTCAATTTCTTGGGAGAGCTAAAGTCATGCAGGTTTTTCTTTATCAAAAAAAAAAAAAAAAAAAAAAAAAGAAGAAGAAGGAAGGAAAGAAGATACTACAGCTCAGCTCTTTTTGGAGTTCTCTGTGTGAGCGCAGCTGCCCGCGCGAAAATAAATATATTCTCTGTTCCTGTCCCCATCCTGTCACACGATAACAACGTCCTCGTATTATTCATGAGACGTCTGTCATTTTCAGTACATATATATATATATATATATATGCATGACAACCACTTTATGATGATAATTTAATAAGCACACAGATCTCTTATCTACTGACAACTATGTCGACTTTCAGATTGTTGATTAACAACTTTCCTTTGCAATATGAATATATATATATATATATATATATATATATATATATATATATATATATATATTCACTATGCGCTTGACAGATTCTAACAAGGCAAAAATTTCAATTTTTGTTATCATTTCCATCAGTCTTCTTTTTTTATATAATCGGATTTAGCCGAAATAGAGGAGGGGGGAAATAAACTTTTTTTTAAACAATTATTATAATGATATTAGAATTTTTTTTCGTGTTAAATTATTTTTAATCAATTATTCGGTAATGAGAGAAGGACCAATGAAACTTTCTCAAAGTTCCATCGGAATTTTGTATGGGAAACTTGTAATTACCAAATTTCCGCTTCTTTGGGAAATCATCATTATATGGAAACCTTCCAATCAAGGGAAACCTCCCCTTAAACATAAAGGGAACCTTCCGATGGATCATCAAGGGAAATTTCTTCTTCAACTTTTGAAGGAAACCTTCCAATGAGGGAAAATTTCCGTTCAATATGAAGGAATCTTTTCACTGCAATATTAAGATACGATTTCTTGAAATTTTCTACGGAAATTTTCACTACCCACGTGGAGAGATTTCTAAAAAAGTGCTCCTGGGAATTTCTGCTGGAATTCTTATTGGAAACTCCTACGAAATTCCGATTAGAATTGGAATTCCAACTGGAATCGGAATGCCAATTGGAAACACCGACGGGATTCCGATGGAATTCCGATTAGAATTGGAATTTTAACTGCATGCGGAATTAGAATTGGAAACGCCGACGGTATTCCGATTAGAATTGGAATTCCAAATGGAATTGGAATTATAATTGGAAACGCCGACGGGATTCCAATGGAAATGTGATTAGAATTGAAATTTCCAATACTTTCCTAGGAATCTTCCCACGTGAGTAATTGTGAGTTAAAGGCGGATTTCGGAATATTAATGAAATAAAGCTTCCTAAGGGATAGTCAGAGAATGTTTCCCTTCATATTCCGAAGATTCTCTTGATGTTCCAAAGGAAGATTTCATTAATATTCCCGTAGATAATTTCCCTGTTATTCCAGTGCTAACTTCCCTTGATAATAAGAAGTTTTACTTGATGATCCATTCAAACGTTCTCCTAACATTTAATCAGTATCTGCAAGTCTAAAACAGCTGAAAATGCGGAGACTTTCAGCAAATTTCAATTTCAGATTTTCGGTATGTTTGGAAATCGTCTGGTATGGGAACACCTCTTGTGTGCGAACACCTCTAGAGTAATTATCCTAAGGTAAACGTCCACTCAGTGGAACCTAAATTTTCAAACCCAAACATCGGAGAAAATCTACTCTAAACAAATCCCTTCATAAAAATGATAATAAAATCTTTTTCGATACAGGAAACACATATACCCAGCAAATGCGACGAAATACCGGATTCAAGGGATATATATAAGCTATCGATTTCGTCCTCGGTAATTTTACTTGGAAGGTTTCGCAGCGTACAGTGTTGGATGAGTTATAGATGCTCTTTGCTGTCGCGCATTCAACGGGTGATGTATGACTCAACAGTTAGGTGGAAGCCAGCTAGCAGCCGTACCACCAATGTACAAGCACAGAGAGAGAGAGAGAGAGAGAGAGAGAGAGAGAGAGAGAGAGAGAGAGAGAGAGAGAGAGAGAGAGAGAGAGAGAGAGAGAGAGAGAGAGAGAGAGAGAGAGCGACTGTACACAGATGCCGCAGGCGGCTAGAGTCCCTTTGTGTTTTATTACAAACGATACGTCAGCCCACGATGTATGGGCCGCTTTTATCTGCGGGCTGTGTTATTGATGTGCTACATTGTCTGCACTGACTCGCAAGAGTGGGCGCGCAGGATTGCTTGATAGACGTCGTTCAAGACATGAGATGTCTGTCTTGACCCATCCGGCGATAAAGAGCGAGAGACAAACGCGCATGACCATGACGTGATTTTCTGTCTCTATATTATATCTTACAATTGTTATAAAACTATCTCTAGAATAGACATCAGGTTCCACGAGGTCAAGATGAAGGATAATTCACTTTGACATAAATTATATACATTTACAAAAGGGAGATCATTATTTATCTCATCAATGTAATAATACTGTTGATTAATTTAGCCTTTGGATTTTGTTCCATATTTATCTAATTAATATTCCTTTTTGGATTAATCCTGAAGAATTCACCAAGGTTCTTTGGATAATTTAGATTTAGCCTTTGGATTTTGTCCCATATTTACCTAATTAATTCCTTTGTGGATTTTTTTTTTTTGAGATTTGGATTTTTTGTCCATTTGGGAAACTATTTTTGTTGGTGATGAATTGTGTATAATCAGAAATATTTGTTAATGTTAAGGGAAGCAGAAATTAAGGAGTAGTGGAAATATTGCGTGTTTGAATTGACGATAATTACCACTTAACTTCCATCGATCATTTTCAAGCGAGGAGAGTCAGATGGAGCCTTGATGGTTTCTTGAGTATATAGTACTCTCGAGGATCCCATTCAGTGAAGCGAGGAACAGTCTGTCGTCCCAGACGTTGCACGCAACTCATGCGAGAGAGAGAGAGTGAGGGTGACATATAGAACGGAAACGAAGTGAGTGAGAGAGAGAGAGAGGAGCTGGATGACGACGACCGACGACGTACCGGGATGATGAATTAGCTATATGGTGGTGACCTTTCGCGCAAAATCTCTCCTGGTCGTTCTCGCGGTAGGCAGCTCCTGTGATGTCGAGCGCAAGATGATGGATAGTCTCCCGTCACGGAGCCATTCATCACCTCTATCACCTACTACTACCCCCTTCACCTTATGCTTTAGAAAGTGAACATTCGAAGGCTATCTACTCACTTCGGATAGTGATTAATGTCGATCGGTGTGCGCCCTGTTATTTGACCTCACCTCTCTTCTTCTTGTTCCTCTTCTTTTTCTCCACTTTCTTCTCCTAACGCTGCATCTTCTTCTTCTCCGTCTTCTAATACTGCATCTTCTTCTTCTTCTTCTTCCTCTTCTGCGAAGTCCTTCCGATATTCCTCTCTCATGGGCGTTGACTTCTCTCTTTCGATTTGAAAGACGTCCTCCGTTTGACGCTCAAGGTAATTTACCCGTAACGAGTTTACAATCTTGATCGACGTCTTCCACGCGGTGCTGTCTTAACATCCAATCCTATTAGTTACGTCTCCGTGACTTCAACTGATAATCTCAAACGGATCATGAAAAATCGTCAAATACCTTTTTTGCCTGTCGTTAGTGTCGTCGTCGTTCCATTTTCAACATATATTACGATTTACAATTCGATTTTAATCGCATAGTGTTCTAATAACTTTTTCTTCAAATTCCGCAGTAGTCATATAATCCACGATTGACTTCTAATGACATTTGGAAAGTTGATAATTCATCATATGATTTATTTGGCTTTGATCTCACCTGGTAGATATCGGTATTATTTCTTGTCTATAGTGAATCAAAAACGTTAACAAGATCTTGATATATATATCAAAAAAGATAGAATTCAATGTATGCAAAAGATATATA